TTCACCATAAATGCTATTTGAAGGAACATCATAATAAACTTTTGGTAAAAATTATGTCTTGGTTGAAGTGGAGATAACATTTCTCCTCTGCATATATATAAAGTTTAAGAGAATGAACTGACTCCTTTCACTCTCCTGTCCCTCTTACTATATCATAAAAGTTGTCTAAATTATATTGTTTTGCCAACTCATTAATTTGTTAGAGCAGATACAATAGCATATTATAAGCCAACTATAAACACATTTTGAGAGGGATAAAAGAGGAGAGAGAGAAGAGCAGTGGACTACAGATTTGTAGCCAGTTGCAACACAGACTCCAAGATGTATGTGTGTATGATATGTAAGATTAGATATTAATTGTATAGTATATATTTATAGATAACTATTGTATAAATTGGCTATTAAGTTGATTATAGATGATTTGAAGCTAGCAGTTGGCTATACTATTAAACTTGGGGTGTGTTTAGTTCCACGCTAAAAGTAAAAGTTTGGAGAAAAAAATTGAAAGTTTATATGTATAGGAAAGTTTTAATGTGATAAAAAAGTTAAAAGTTTAAAGAAAAAGCTGGGAAGGCCTAGCTATTAGAGCTCGGCAAAGCCTACTGTTTCTAGTGTCATTGAACGCAGATGCGCGGCGTGTCTGTCGTTTTATGTGCCAAATGCCAATGAGCTCCCGTGGCTGTCCTCTATCCTGGTAGGTGCGCAAAGCTCTTCTGCATTAAGCGAAGCTCTATTCTCGCGAGCCCACTTACGAACTTCATTAAAACCGGAGAAAACGTGCGTGCAGTTGTGGGTGGGAATAGGCGCTTTAGGCTTTCGGGAAAGCCTCATGAGCCCGGCGGGGCGCAGGCACGCAGCGCAGGACGATAGCCACCGGGGCGGATCGCGACCGCATCCCCCCGTCCTTCGGCGCGGCAAACCCCGCAACGGCGCAAGCAACCACCGGGTCGGCCCTGAGACGTGACTTCCTCGTCGTCCCCGGCCGTGGGGGGGCCTTCGCCGCGCGCCCCCCACGTGCGGCCACCGGGGCCGGGCCAATCGCGGCGCCGCGGCCCATGTGGCTCGCGTACCTGCCCGGTCGGCCGGCCGTGGCCGCGGCCGTGGCGGGCGTGCGCTGCTGCCTGTTGCGCGCTAGGCGCTTTCTTCCCCGTTCCAATCGCGTCGCGTCGTGTACCGCCCCTCCTGCGGCCTGGTCCTCCCTGGTCCCCTCTCCTCCCACCGCTGCAGTAGTAATGCGCAGAGCGATCCCCACCGGGAGGGAAATTCCTCGACAACGACGAGCGACGGTGCAGGGGGAAAGTACCGTGATAGTGCACAATACTAGCATCTGCGTGTGCTAGTGCACGCAGCAACAAATGCATACACTTTGAGTTCTGTTACGTCGGGGCGGTAGCCTAAATGGACTGGAATGGAAGGAGGAGATCTCTAATAAGGCCTCCTCCAACAAGGGTGAATCAGCTAGCTCATAAATCTTCACATCAGCTTTTGTATGATATGGAAGAGAGAGAAGATAAGGAGAGAGAATGCACTATCTCTTCTTCAAGAGCTAAGCTCTAAAAAAAATGTGAGAGGGATTGTGAAACCCAAAGCATTTTGAATAATGTGCTATGAGACAATCTATTAAAAAGGTAGACTTTTTGCTATCTCTTGTATAAGGTGGACAAACATGAGCTAGTGCACTAGCTCAACCATTAAAGGAGACCTAAGATCGCTGTCCGGAAGACTGTAACCACCACCATAATTATACGTCTCTTAGAACAGAACAGGGAGAAGATTTGTAAGATCGCTGTCCGAAAGACTGGAACCACCACCGTAATTATACGTCTCTTGGAACACAACAGAAACATGCCAATGTGTCGTTTTAAGCACCAGTGCTATTTGCATCAATATTCGCCATCAACCATGTGGCATGGGATGGAGACATCTTCCTTTTTCCTTGCCCAATGCCGACCAGCAGAGACGTGACTAGGATACAATCAACTTGATGAAGGAGCAAAACTGGCAAATAATAGAGGGAAAACGTGCATAGATGATAGAACAACCGGATAAGCAAGCTTTTCTCACAGCTCCCATCACTATCCACCTCACTTGAAAGGTAGACTGCAACGAAAATGTGTAGGAAAAGGACATATACATGTACACCCTATGTCCCAAAATAAATTTATTCCTAGATTTCTATGTCCAACATTTGACTGACTACTGAAACCCACAAATATCGGAGGGTATCTATATATTCTCGATCTAGAATCAACGCGTATACCGACTACTGGAATATACAATGTTCCATAAAAAGAAAATAAAACCACACACTTTTCCAGCAAAAATTGAAATCTGAACTAGATTTGAGTCAAGCCGTTTTAGGACTAAATTATTTGTTGTTCTCAAAATAGTACTCTCTCTGTTTAAATAAAAATTCCAACTTTTGAAAGAATATGGAACGGAGAGAATAGCTTACAGCCAAGAAAAAAACATATACTCTCTTTATCAAAAAAAATATAAGTATATCATTATTTACAAATTGTACTACAGCATAAGTTATCTGTGTTGATTTTAATGCCGGAAATTCTATATATTTCCAGGCAATGAGATGTTTAGGAACGGAACTTTCACCTTCTTTCTCAACTCACCTCTCTTTTTCGCGTGCATGCTTTTCAAACTGCTAAATGATATTTTTTTTTAAAAAAAAAGATTTCTATAGAAAAGTTGCTTTAAAAAAATTGTATTAATTCATTTTTCAAGTTTTCTAGCTAATACGTAATTAATCACCCATTAATGGAAAACAATGTTTTCCGTGTGGGGAGGTGGAGTTACCGAACTCAGCCTATAAGCATTTCAGAATTCAAATTTTGACCACTGAAGTGACTAAGGGCCTGTTTAGTTCGCGAAAATAAAATTTTTGGATGTCACATCGGATGTTTGACCGGATATTGGAAGGGATTTTCAGACACGAATGAAAAAAAACTAATTTCATAACTCGCTTCGAAACCGCGAGATGAATCTTTTAAGCCTAATTAATCCGTCATTAGCACATATTGGTTACTGCAGCACTTATGGCTAATTATAAACTAATTAGGATCAAAAGATTCGTCTCGCGATTTCCCCCCTAACTGTGCAATTAGTTTTTGTTTTTATCTATATTTAATGCAATACTATTTTCCTCTCTACAATGATATCTAAAGGTCAGACTGAGCCCCTAGCGGTCTGACCGAGCCGTGGACGGTCTGACCGGCCACTACACTGCGGTCAGACTGGTCAGGTTGAGTGGGCTCAATGATTGCCCTGTAGCCGTTACAAAGTAGTCCGGTCTGACCGGTCACACTATGGTGGTCTGATCGGCAGAGTACAAAGTTAGAGATTTCGACTCCAACGGCTAGTTTTGGTGGTTGGAGTTATATATACCCACTCCCTAGCAGTAAGGGTAAGGTTTTGGCACTCCATTGCATTATTTTAAACCCTTGCAAGAGCTCTCACACCCTTGGACACTTAGTTTATTTAGTGAGGTGTTAGAAAGTGAGTTAAGCCAATCAAAATGCATTGTTTCATTGTTAAAGCTAGCGTGGCACTTGATCATCCTCGGCTAGCTTCCTGTACTTATTACTCTTGGAGGTTGCCACCTCCTAGACGGCTTGTGGAGGTATTGCCCGGTGACTTCTCCGAGGAAATTGTGGAGGAGCCTCGGCGCCGGTTGTGAGTGGTTTGGAGTTCACCACCTACGGAGTGAAGGAAGAACTACCCCTAGTGATCGAGGCTTGGGTAGTCCTCTCCGTGGTCCGGCTCCCACCTTGCCCACCCCTTGACGAAGGGGGCGTGCGGTGGCTTTGTAATTGAGCGGTGGAGTTGGGCTCACCTCAACGGGGATTAGGAAACCGGCGAGTTTCCGAACCTTGGTGAAAAATTCCTTATCTCTTGTCTTATTTATTTGTTGCATTTACATTTATGCAATTTACATTCATAGAGACATATTTGAGCTCATATCACCCTAGGTTTGCAAAACTTAAATTAGTTGTTTAGCTAATCTTGTATCTCACTTTGCCTAGCAACTTATGTTAGTTTTGTTTAAATGCCATTTAGTTTTAAATCGCCTATTCACCCCCTATAGTCGTCATCTCGATCCTACAGCTACATGTGTTGCATCACAAAATTTAAAGTCAATAGCTGTGAAGATTTTTATCAACTTTGGATGGAGATTTAGCAATAGACTTGAACTATGAATAAGTTGCTATTTTCATTTGGTTGGTGTGGTTATCTCTTTTTTCATTTACCTTTGTTTTTTTTCTGTCGTGTTTGAGCTTTATAATAAGTGAGGCCTTGTTTAGATAAAAAAATTTTAGCCAAAAACGTCACATCAAATGTTTGGACACATGCATTAAGCATTAAATATGGACGAAGAAAAAAAAGAATTACACAGTTTGCATGTAAATTGCGAGACGAATTTTTTGAGCCTAATTACGCCATGATTTGATAATATGATGCTACAATAAACATTTGCTAATGATGGATTAATTAGGCTTAATAAATTCGTCTCGCAGTTTACAGTAGAATCTATAATTTATTTTATTATTAGTTTACGTTTAATATTTCAAATATGTATCCGTATACTTTAAAAACTTTATGTCCAAATAACTAAACACACATTGACTGTAGCTTCAGTTGAAGAACCGGGTTTAATATTTCATTATTATAAAAAAAGGTTCACCGTTTCCTTTCCACGGTTGACGGGCGGTAACCAAACCAAAGCCGCCACATGGGAACCAAACCAAAGTCACAACGCTGGCATGTGTGATTGGGAGCCTGTGAGGCCGTGGGCCGTGCCTCCCGTGACGCCATTTCAGCGACCGGAAGAGGGTCGTCAAACGGCCAGATCTCGCGTCTCTGGTCGACGGCTCTCTACCAGAATACCCAAATCACCCCTCGCACGGTCCACGACACCAAGCGGCCGCGCGCCACACCAAACTCAATACTACAGGGGATAATCACGTCATTTGCGGCCTTCACGGGTGAGGCAAAGCGAGAATTCCAAGCTCCGGTTGTCCGGTGAGACGGGGCGCCTTCTTCTCCACGCCGCCGCCGCGTGGGCCAGGCCGAATAGAATCAAAACTCAGACCACCACCAAGCCTCGCGGTTTCTCGCCGTCCGAGCGGCCAAGCGGAGAGCGCCTCGATCCGCCCGCCGCCGCGCATGAGGATCCTCGCGCTCGTCGTGGCGGCCGCGGCCCTCCTCGCCGCCGCCGCCACCGCGCACGAGCACCACGGCGAGGCGCCCACCTGCGCCGGCGGCGGCAGCGGGCGCGTGCTCGCGGAGTTCCGTCCAGGGGAGGTGACCCTGGACGGGCACCCGGCAGACTGGGACGGCGTGGAGGCGTCGGAGTTCGCGCTGCTTCCGGCTCTTGACCCCGACGAGGACAAGGCCTACGCCGGCGGCAAGGTCTTCGTCAAGGTGCGCCCTCCCTGTTGCTCTGTCTACGCCTCGATCGCTTACTGCGCAGGAGCACACGGATCTTGATAAATAAGGTGGATCGTATGATAGAAACTACTATGTCGTATGTTGAAATGGTGATGGGTGAACCCGTCTCATGAACCTTCGTGATTACCCGTCTCATGAACCTTCGTGATTATGTAGCATTTGGGGTGGTAAATCTTAGATTTGTCAGAAGTATCGAACTTAGGTAGCTTCCTGAAGTAATGGGAGATGCGATCCATGTGTTGGATGCATCGTAAATGGTGGCGTTGTTTAACTCTTTTGGATTGACATGTGCAGGCTGTGCATGATGGCGTCAACATTTTCTTCATGCTGAAAGTTGATGGGGATTACACCTACACTAAAGGGTACTTTCGCCCTCTTTCATTGTGCACATATATACTAAGCGTGGATTGAGGCCATTGGTCTGCATGGCAGACCGGTAGTGGAGTTCGTAGTGCTCTTTATGTTCACTCTTTTAGTCTTTTAGTTGTGATGTTACATTGGATTGGATAAATTGGACAGCCATATTGATTTGTTCACTAGTTCAAGAAAGTGCCATACTGCCATGGTGATAGGTTCTCTCTCTCTCTAATCCAAAACGTCTTTTTTTAACCCAATTTTAATGTACTAAAGCTGTAGCTATGTGGGTGATGGGGACAGAGGGATTTATACACTAGTTTCAGTTAGTGGTATTACATGGTCACAGAATGCCAGTCTCTCTTATTGCCTTGGTCTTCTCTATGGTCTCATGGTATTTTATTTGACCGAGGTACTCATGATCAATATGGAGAAAAATGATATGGGGTGTTAGCCATGTTATTCTGCTTCTTCAGATGTGTGGTTCTGACTTCTGAGCAAGTAACCTGTGCTTTTGATTGGCTTGTTGAACATTACAGCGAAAATAAGAAGTGCCCTTCTGTTGCTCTGATGTTCCAAATTGGAGAGAAAGCAACGTACTATAATGTAAGTTTGCGATGCTGTAATTATTCCCAAATCTCAAGTCATAGTGTATTAGTGTTCGTGTAAGCGGCTAAGCGCTAACCAACATGTGTCAGTTTGGCACTATTGAAATATTACAAAAGTAGTTAGATCTATTTCTTACAGTGTGCTGACCACTGAGCAATTTTTTGAGTATATATGGATAATTCTACGTGACTTTTGCTGCTCTATTATCACATCATCTCAAATGTTGAGCTGTATGGCCTTTTAGATGGGAGGGTGTAAAGATATGCCTGGTTCATGCACAAGCAAAAGTTGCAGAGGTCAAGAGGTTGACATTATGCACTTTTCTGTTGGAAATGCTATCCCTGGACGTCTTTATGGTGGAAATCACATAGATAATGCAGACGGAAATGGCGGTGATAGGTAATTTCAACAATGCCTTTCTTGATGGTGTTTGTGTAGTTATATGTGATAGCATGCCAAAAGTCACTATTGATCTTTGGGTGTGCAGATTCGGTCATCTTGTTGATTTATATTCATGGAATCCGCATTGCCGATACCTTGATGGGATAGGCCCTAAAGGTACTTCTATTTCCAAAATGCAGAAAGTATCATCTTATTTGTCATTTCCACTAAATTAGAATATTGAAGATATTTTCGGTTTTGTCTGTGTCAACCTTTCGTGAATGAATGTTGAGCTTGAATCATGATTTGTTTCAGAGAATAATTCAAATGCTCAGAATGATTGGCATGGGGCATGGTGGCATAGCTCTCTGACCTTTCACTCAGGTAAGCCATGAGCTCCTCCTGTCCTTTCTTCCAGGTTTTTGTCATTGAAGCTATTAAGTGCTGAAAATTCTCATTAGACTCACCATTGCAGCATACCTTAAACGTTAGAGATGTTTTACAGTGCTTGGAAAGTACTAGAGGTACCTCCACTTTAAAGTCATCAACGGCTGATATTTCTTTATAGTTGAGGTGTCTCTATTACCTTGCAAGCACAGCCATGTATATTTCTCAAAGCGAAGGCACCTCTAGGCATCACAGATCTCAAAAATGTTACCCTTCTCATTCATATGAGTATAAATCTGCTCATATGCCAGATGGTATCTAGAGGAGTTAAGGCATACATATACCGAAACAGAAGCAAACGACATTTGGAGGATTAATCTTCTCGATTCCTCCTTTTTTGCATGCTATAAAATGTAGTGCTTAATGGACTTCGACTGCAGCATATGGAAGCTTTATCTTAAGACCATTCAGACAGTCAACAAATAAACATTTTTTTATCATTGCATAAGCTTTGATGGAAAAGGGAAATCTACCCAAATAAAATTATATTGTCTGACTATCATGTGTTCTTCCTCTCCAGGCTTTGTGGATGATGACAGTCCTTACGGAAAACAAGATGAGAAGGGCACATATTATTTTGAGTTTTCAAGGCCCCTAAGAACAATGGATCGATTACAGCAGGTAGTTATCTACTATTGTTTCAATTCTTCCCAATATTCCATGAGCACCAGCATGCCTAGAGACATGTGCATAAATGCATATATGAAGTTACCAACAAATAGTTATACATTATATTTCTAATGTACCGACAGCTAGGTCTGCAATTTTCCAGTATTGCAACTGTGATTGTGTCTAAATAACATTGCCATAGTTGGGTGGCCATCCTGCTCATCCTCTTCTTACTAAGACGCGTGCACCTTATTATGATCCGTTAGCAAGGTTCTAAACACTGCTCTACTTGACCTAACATGTAACCTCTTTGCGTATGAGTATAGTAATTGTTTTAACCACGTGATTATTCAGGTTACTTGTACAACCAGGCATTTGCAAGGTGGTCAGATTAGGATGATACATGCCAGTTTTTTTTGTGACACAGGATAGTTGTCTAGTAGTATTATCGATTATTTGGTCATATACTCATATGATAGCTTTGATTACTTGGTATCTAAGGTTGAATTGAGTAAAAAACTTGGCTGGTGGGGGAAAGATTGCCCCCCATGGTATTTCACAAAGAAGAGCTCAACCGGAGCCCAGCCAAGAAAGGTCACAGAAGCCGGCCCCCCTCATACATGGGGATGCCGCCCCCTGTGGTTCGGGAATTAAGCCCTTAACCCATGCTTTCAGGCTCAGCCCACTACTAGCGAGTGACATCTTTTTACCCAACCTGAAAATCGCTCCCACGGGATGGAATAGCTTTTGGTATGGTTGCATTACCAAATTTGTTTTACTAGATTTTGCGCTTAAATGTTCCTTTGGCCATGCAGGATGCACAGTTCACGATAGGTGGGCCCAACAGTATGGCTGTGGCTTTCTGGTACCCAAACGATGGCAAACCATGGAGCAAGTCCGAGCATTATTCGGCCAGCTGCGACTGGTTGGTTCTTGATATTCAACCATCCATGGAAGCTGCACATTACCGCCCAGCTCCAAATCGTTCATGGGATGCTGCAACTGCCTTTGCCTTGCTTCTTTCGGTAGTAGCAATCTGTATATCCGTTTTTGTGGGCTACGGGGCTTCTAAGAACAGGAGCAGCGTCCAATTTACACCACTTGAGCAGATCTAGTTCGTTTGCTGGAGAAAAGAATTTGATGGTCTCGAGTTTCATTATTTGTGATGCGACAAGGGACGCTATTTCATCTGTTGCTGATGCACTTTCATGATCCTACATAACACTTCTACGTCGAGGGATTGCTGTGTTGCATCTTTGTAATCTAGTGTAGGACACTGAAAATACATACGATTCAGAATTTCAGACTAGATTTTGGTTTTATACCTGTACGGTTCATTTTCTGTAAATGATGTATGTCGGCTACATGCACATCTAGAACTTACACTTTTACGTTCTTAAATTTGAGCACAGATGATTTTCATACAAATGTTGAAGTGCTTCATGTGATGGCTGAACAAAGTTTCTTTTCCTACAGCATGGTTCTTTTACCATTCAAAAGACAATTATTCCCTCTTTACTCATTTAATTGATTTACTTGTTCTTAAACTGAACGGGAAAGAGTGGACATGCTCAGTTTGTTATTAACAAACCAAACATACTCTTACCATTGTTACTCTACCAAAATTTAGTAGTTTAGAAGTTCTTACATATAAACACTACCAAAATTTGATAAAGGGTGAGTGTACGCACGTACGTGGGTGTCTACGTTTATATTATGTTTCGAAAATAAAAATGATAAGGCTACAAAAAGAACGTATCTAGCACTATCAAATTTTTGTAAACATAAAACCGATTTTGTAAACATCTGGCGACAAATTTTTGGCCCGAAATCACTCGGATTTGCTTCCCTTGGATTAGTCTCTGCATTATTTAGTTAGCGGCTGTGATGCGTTTCTTTCCCACGCACGCATGAGGTCAGCAACATCTAGCTTGGCACAGTATTGATGAGTACACACATTGCACGTCGATGCGGCTAGGTGAAGAGATTGAAGAAATAAAATATAAAATTACACTCCTATGACATGCAAGTGCACTATAATTTTGATAAAAAATATTGTGTAAGTAAATATGTATTAGTTAATTTATTTAAAATATAAAATTACAGTCCTATAACTTAAAATACATTTGTAAATACATTCGTAAATTCAATTGATATAACATAAATTCAATTGATATAACATGTAAGTGTACTGTAATTTTGATAAAAATGTTGTGTAAGCAAATATATATTTGTTATTTTCTTTTGTAGTCTGTTGGATGTAAATCTAAAGGTAAAAAAATCTAAGTTCTTTTAGAAATCACCCGCAAAAGGATAGGATTTGTCAGGCAGTTCCACGTAAAAATGTACTGAAATTTGACAATACCCATTACCGGTATGGTTGATTTGAGGCCCAAAGGAAACCGAACCGATGCAGCAGTGGAGGCCCATGATATGAGAACCCGGAAGCAACAACCTGCAGTTGCAAGCCCCATCCATCATCACCATTCACCAACCAGCGCGTCTCCATGGGCTTAGGGTTTTAGCTTCTGTAGCAGCAGCGTGGCAAAGGTTTTCGCGGCAGCCGGCATCACCAATGGCTTAGCAGCAATCAAGCTCTCACCACTCCGGCGTCGCTCGTAATCCATCTGCTTTACCCCATGGCCGACCCAGAGGACGCCGCCGCCGCCGCCGCCGCCGGGAATGAAGACGACGTGGAGGACCTCTACGCGGACCTCGACGACCAGGTGGCGGCCGCGCTTGCCGCCGCCGGGGAGAGCGGAGGCTCCAACCCGGCCACCGACGGCGAGGCCGAGGCCGAGGCGCCGGGAGCCCACCACACGGAGGCCGACGCGAACGAGGCGGTGGACTTGGGCGACGGGACTGCGGGCTACATCAGCAGCGACGAGGAGAGCGAGGATGACCTCCATATCGTGCTCAACGAGGATGGCGCCGCGCCGCCGCCTCCTCCTCCTGCTGGCCGATGCGAGGAGGGGAGCGAGGAAGGGGAGGTTTCGGGTAGCTGTGTGAAAGGCCTGTCTACTGATGGCGGTCGGGGCAAGGTATGCTTCACGAATTGGCGAATAACCCGTAGGGTAAAATTTCGTAGAAATTGTAGACAGTATTGGAAATCGAAAGTGCAGGGGAAGTTCCAGAATCGTCTGTCATTAGTCTGTGGCACAGCTCACTTCTTCAGTTAATCCCACCCCACAAGGGAATTGAGAGGGATTTGGAGGGGAATAAGGTGTGAATTAATCCCCTCGATCCCTACCTCTTGGGGATTAACTGAACAAGGCCTAACAGATTTCATTTCCATCGTATTATTTGCAAGTATTTTCTATCTCTTTTCTGTTACTAATTAGGATGAATGGTATATCACAATATCACATTGAGTTATGTATTTGATTTTGCTGGGAGCAATTCTATTGACATTTGTTTTTTTATGTGGTGTTCCGTGTTCCAGCTTGGTGAGCTTCACCGGAAGGGGCTTTTCGAGAAAACAACAGCACCGATCACAGGACAAGGTGATCGAAGCCACCAGCATGCATTTCAAAAGGAATTCAATTTTTTCTTACCAAGGAACAGGTGCCATTCTGTCTTTGGCCCAAGAACAAACAACTGATTCTTGTAATTCTCGTCGTAGTTTTCTGGAATATTCAACGTTTAAAGTCATGATCTCTCTGACATGATAGTTATGATCTTAATTTGGCCAATAGACATTAAAAGATATTCCTGCTAACTGCAGAGTTATTAGTTATGCCTACTAGCTGCATAAGTTGGCCTTTCTGTCTATATGCATACCATAACTAGAATGTGCAATTGCACTTGACCTCTGATTTGGACGTTATGGTATGTTACTTCAGGACAGTTTTTGACGTAGACATTGAAGCATTTCAAGAGAAGCCCTGGAGACAGCATGGTGTGGATCTCACGGACTACTTCAATTTCGGTCTGGATGAAGAAAGCTGGAGAAAATATTGTTTTGACATGGTAGGCTTTAATGTTTTGTTGACTCATTATTTTGTTCACATTTATGTTATAATTTTTTAGTCCAATAGATGATAATAGAGCCCCTTTTTCTCTCCTGTAGGAACACTTCAGGCATGGAACCAGAACACTTGCAAATGAATTGTCAGGATTGCAACAGGTGAGATAACCTGAAATTTCATTCAATCATTCTATTTGCCAGAAAAAAGAATTGTTTACATATCTCTGCATTCAGGAGTTCCATTACAATCTTGGATTGAGTAAATCAGTGCCAAAGTCAGAGATTTATTCTGTATTGAAAGAAGGAAATGGGATTGCTAAGGTATTATGAAGTCATATTTTGGAGTGAATGGATCAATTTATTCTTTATGTGCTATCTGCCATAGCTAACTTGTATTGTTCATATAGCCAAAGGGTAGAGCAATCCATGTTGAAGGTGGTATGCATGAACGTCTTCCATCAGCAGATATGTGGCCTCCAAGACAAAGGGATTCTGATGTGATACAGGTATGTGGTGTCAAGGTCTTTATTATGTTGCAGCTATATATCTTCTAAGTTCTAACAATTAATCTGATTGTGCAGGTAAACATGATGTTCCCACCCTCAAACCGCTCCAGTTCAGATGACAGGTCCACAGTAAATGACAAATGCATCACTACCAAAAGGTATGCATAGTTGAGACCACAAGTTGGTGTTGTTTTGCGGAAGGTTAGAATTGTATTTTGCAAAATGATCAATAAGCTGATTTTTTTCTCAATCACAATAGATGTGGGCCATCCAATAACCATCCAGGTGTTGATGAATATCTGAAGGAAACTAGCTCTGTGGTGGACAGAGTGGTTGATAAAGAAGTGCACAAGAGAGGTTCCTCAGAGTGTACCAGGAGCAAAACGGTTCTAGGAGATTCTGCCTGTGCAGGGGCTCAATCTTCTACTCCTGATAATTCTGACATGCTTTCTGAAGAATCAACAGAAGATTTTCATTTTAAGAGGAAGCGTGGAAAATCAAATTCCAATGCTTTTTATGTGGAAACCAACCGTAAGGATGAGCATGTCTTATCAGATTTTTGCCGTCATGCAAGTAAATCAGACCAAGAAAGTAGCAAGGGTGAGAGCCATAGATATACCCCCTCTCCTGCTGATGACAGATATCACAAGGCAACTAAACGTCAGAGGATGGATGAAGCTGGAGCATGCATTTCTAGTCGATCTCTTAATAACTGCCAAAGTGATCACCATCTCCATGAATCTGGACATAGAGCAAAAAAAGAACTGAAGAGGCAAAGTTTAGCTGGTGGAAAACATGCCCTCTTTGAGAGACAAGAAAACACAACAGATAACTACTCTAGTAGGTATGCTCGAAAGCATAAGCATAAAAGATCTAGCTCAACTTTCCTTGGCACCAATTATCGAGTTCACAATCAATTGTGCGAAAAGCAAGAGTATTTACCGCTGGGAAGAGCAGCTTTGAGAAATGATGAACAATGCAGCGCTGATTATAATCAAAGACATAGGCGATCTTGGCGTGAAATCAACGATGATGAAGATATTGTGGGGTGCTATTCCGCCAGGCGGTGGCAGCAACGCCATGATGATCTACATGGATCCCATTCAATGCTAAAAGCTGAGGTTTGTGATGATATTGATGGACATATGTACAGAGAAAGGCGATACGAGGAAACAAGAAAAATCAGACATGACCGCAATGGGGATGATGAATTTTTCCATTACACTGATTACAGATTTGGCAAGGTACTGGATCCTGAGGATAGGCGCAGATGCAGAAGTCAATCTGCAGAAAGCTGTGATGAGCATTTCAGACGTTCTGAACATCTTGTGTTTGATCATTTCACACATCCTGACCAACTTATGTTGTCTCATCAGGCAAATGACAACCACAGGAAATCTGAGAAGGGTTGGCCTGGGCCTGCTGCAAGTTTGACCTTTATGAGATCAAGAAACAGATTCATTGATAACGAAAGAATCCAAAATGGTAAAATGAAATACAACCATGATGGATATTATGAAAAGAAAAGGCAGCATGATTCTGTATTTGATGTTGACGACATTCAGCAACCTGCTTTGTACACTGGTTCTGTTGCTGAGACTGGTCAATGTATTCGACCAGTGAAGAGGAGGGTTCATGCTGATCATTCCATGAACCGTAAAGATCGTTTCAATTCATCATATCAAAAAGGAAGGAGATTGATGCATGGTTGGTCCATGATCAGTGATAGAGATCTTTATGTTGCTGAGATGCACAATTCTCCAAAGGATATTGATGTAGAAGCTATGTGTAGTCCCAATGATATGAGAAATAGCAATAATATTCCAAACATTTATGATAAGATAAGGCATGAAGTCGTGAATTTGCAGCCGAGGGACACAGATAACATGCTCTTGATCCATAGGAAGAGAAAGGTAAACTTTGAGGAGGCAATGCCAATATTGTTGTACATATATATAATTTTTAATATATATTCCATTCTACATCTTTCCTTAAATTATTCCTTTTGTGATGAGTGATACATGCACATAAAAGGGAAAAGATAGTGCTTCAATGCCCTCCTGAAACTCCATAACTAAATCAGACAGACTATAAAGCTACAGTAGTAATGGAGTAGCAGAAAATTGCTAGTCAGGCCCTCGATTTGGTTTGCAAATTATGTTTTCCTTTTTATATAGAGGATTTAAGCACTTACCACAAAGTATCTATTTCTCTTTGTTTGAGCAGTACAGTTTTTATATGATCTGGTGAGATCCTACATGGCTCGGTTCCGTTATAAATCTGTCTTGGTTAACAGCTGGATAATAGTTATTCATATTTAAACAGGCCTGATATAACTCTGCCTCTAGATTCTGGACATATATATGTCACCCGCTATCCACTTCTTGGACTGCCTTGTGCTATGACATTGCTTGTGTTATTCTCTTGCTAATATGTAGCCATTCCCACTTTCATGCTCCCAAGTCTCAATCTTCTTTCAGAAAAGGGGAGATCATATCCTGCTCCTTGATTCCATGTTGCAGCATTGACATACTCATGTTCAATGAGTGAATGAATCGATCTGTATCAGTACTCACTTGAATGTACTTAGTGAGCTGCTAGTTTGTCTGTAGTTTGTACATTTTGGAAGGGTGTAGTTTTTGCATCCACTCCCTGCATCATGTTTTAGAAAGAGGAATCCTCTCTTGTTTTGTGACAGCAAGGCACTGCATGGGCATGGACAGTGCCATTCTACCTTCCAACATGTTGCCATAATCCCATGAGTATAAACAATAAAAATATAAATATTACCTAAACTTTCTTTGGTGTTAGTGAAGTACATACTATGTTTACTTATAATTTTTTTCACATGTGAAATACATTATGGTCAAAGTGTATCCATTCATACAATTAAATGCTAGGTTGACTATCGGTTCATGGTATTAAAAGTTGATGAATATTATTTACTTCAATACAACTGCATTGAATATTCTACGTGTCTGTTTAGTAATATTCTACGTGTCTGTTTCTTGGTTGGTTACTTATAATAATAACACTTTATCAACATGTGATGCAAGGATCCAATGCTTCATGAAGTGTTTGGCGTCCAATGTGTGCCAAAAATCTAACTACTTGTTTACATGCTAACACATCCGCATTTTAGTCATCTCCTCCCATCAGTTAATATTCATCTACAACCATGTTGTCCATGTAGCCACATCAACTATCCTCTCTTCCTCATTCTGTTTGTGTTTGTTGTGTATAAATGCTCATGTCTGAATATCTTGTTACTTCAGTAACTGTGCTGGTGTCTCTTTGACAAATTATTAAATCATATAGATGCAAGCTTAAGAAGTGACACAAGTTACACCTCCTGACTTGTTAATTTATGACAGTATTGTACCTGATTTAGCACAACACTCCACATTTGGACTTTCCAACTAAACAACGATAAGCACTGAACTGATCCCAGACAAACTTCTTCAAATGGATTAACTATTATGTTGTTTTTCTTCTCCAAATTGTTTTTGATAATCAATCAAGGCATGTTTGGATTTAGGATACTGATGTGGAATAGGAATTGATTATGAGTTGAACTAACCCTTGATAGTAAAAGATGGAGGGTGAGTATCAGTTCACTCCATTCCCTACTCCTATCCCACCTTCTTTCCCCCAAGTCTAAATACCTCCTGTCCTCCTGAAAATCTACATGTAAGTAAAAGATTTTGAAAATTTAATCATCAGGGCAGTTAATAGTATGTTGACTACATTATTATTATGGGCCATAACTAAAGTATTGCAACTTGGTTGTTGACAGTTGTCTTGATGTCACAAAATGGAATTATTGGGAGTCATATGATGCTTAAATTCCTTTTTTTCCCTTAAAAAGTGGTATAATTTAATGCTCAATGAGATATATATGTTAGTTTGTGAAGTATCATTATCCGTTTCTATTGTTTGCTATATGTTTCCTATTCATTCAGCACGAGCAATTCTCTGTTCTTCTTTTATGTTTCAATTTGTAGATGTTAATATTTTTTCTTTCAGTGGTTTTAACGGTCCAAAGGAGCTCTATATTTAGCCAGGATGATTGATTTACAATATTCTGCTGTATGTCCTGCAAACCTAATTTTGGTGAGGTGCGGAGGCTTAGAATGGGAAATGACCATATTTAGTTCAATTGCTGTTATTTCACCAACAGTGATAGCATTTCTGTTGTTAGTTGGACTACAAAAGCAACAGGATATGCATAAGTTTAACAAATCAATTTGTTGTTCTAATTTTACATTTATGTTCAAGTTATCTTCAATGCAGGTAGTATGTTCCTGTTCAACAAAAAAAAAACATAAATAGTTATGCCCACTTAACATATGCTGTTATCAGAAAATTTAAGGTTACCATGCCTGCATATTTTTTGGTTGGTAATGCTACATGCATTGTTGCATCACCAGATATTTTAACTTTTGCGACTCTTAATTCTCTTTCTTCGCCTAACATCCTCTAAGTGTCCTAATTACTGCTAATGAACATGATTATGGCATTTTCCTCTGTGCTTTCACCAAGTTTTGTGTGTAACTCTCATCTAGTGTTCTGTGATCCATCTTCATATGATTTTTGATGGGCTAACTACTGAAAAATGCCAGTTATTTTTGGATATTGACACCACCGAAACCGTATCTCTCCGCACTTGTTTGCTGAGCAAGGCATGATCTTATAGTTTTCTCTTGTGTTATGATCTTTTGCTTGTAACATAGTGTTCTATGTTGATTTATAATTAGGCATAGCTTGAAATGCTTTGAAGAGCAACTTTTTTTTTTTGAAACGTACAATTTTTTTCAGCCATGGAACAAAAATATGTTCATTCTTGCTCTGTTACTATTTGTATTGGCTATTTCAGGACTAGAGGTGTATTTTACCTTGTCATAGCATGTGTTTTCCCACTGTCTGCTGGACTTCTGTTCCTCAATGCTATATTATCATCTTTTGCAGTTTAAGCGACAAGGAATTGAGATAAGGCGTGTGGTCGAAAGTGACAGTGAGGGATGTCTTCCTGCTGACAGTGACTTGCACGGTTCCAAACATAAGAACATACATCAGAAAGTGCGTAAACCAAGAGCCTTCCGTATCTCGCGCAATCAGGCCTCAGAGAAATCTGAACAACAAAAACAGCAACATGTGAGCAACAATCAAGAATATGAAGAGATTGAGGAGGGAGAACTGATCGAACAGGACCATCAGGATACTGCTTCCAGAAGCAAGTCTAACCACCAAAGAAAAGTAGTACTGAAATCAGTGATAGAAGCAAGCTCAGCATGCCAGGGAGGGGTGATTAATGCAACATCAAAAGACGCTGATTGCAGCAACGGAGCTACAGGGGAATGTGATAATAAACATATACTTGAGGTAATGAAAAAGATGCAGAAAAGAAGTGAAAGGTTCAAAGCGTCTATTGCAACCCAAAAGGAGGAAGATGAAGACAGGAAAGAATCGTTGGCCGTGACTTGTGATGTAGATGACATCAAGAATCAGCGACCTGCAAGGAAACGGCTTTGGGGTTGTAGTGGTTAAGATGCTAGAAACCTTTAACAAAGCTCAAACAAACCTTGTGTCAGGCATAGTTTATCACAGACCATCACCATTTGGTTGAGCCAGAATGTCTAGTAAACATCTCTAACCAGGTTTGATCAAGACTCTAACGCTCCAAAGGTATTCAGGTTCAGAAACCGTAGATCTTTTGTTTGTTTGGAATGAGAGGAAAAATATACAGAGCATTCAATTTTTTGCCTATGTAATACATTTACAATGTTGACATTATCTACCATAATTCTTCATAGTAATATGGTAGAAAATGGAAAGAAAAACTGAAAGTTTATGCATATGTCTGTAATGGATTGCTCCCTTCCAACAGAGTATTGACTTCTGGTAAACTGGGAACTGAACTCTCCATATGTATTTATACACAATTTTGGATCTGAGACGCTGTTACATTTCTGCTTGTCATGCAATTTTGCGTTTATTTCAATAGTACCGAAGTTAACTTTCTTTCAGCTGTGATGTCGTCCAGTTATACACCTGTGCACTTGTTCTGATATTTGAATGACATTTCCCGTGGATATCCTCAGCTTTGGAGATGTTGATATTGAGCTTTTAGCTTTGTTTGGAATAATGGGCTAGTTTGGTTTAAGGCCTAAATTAGGCTTACCAATATTTGGCAATTTCAATAGTGTTTAGTGTCTATTTTGTTTGAAGCCAAATTTTGGCATGCTTTCTTAGGCCATTTCAATAGTGAACTTAGGCTATTTTGGTTTCAATCCAAATACAACTTTACCTTATCAAAATTAGTCATGCAAAACTTATCAAAATTTAGCATTGTCAAAATTTGGTAAGGCCTATTTAGACCACAAACCAAACCAACCCAATATGTTCTCTCCTTTTTTTCCCTCGAGTCCTGCACGAAATATGGTGCCGTGTTCCTGTAGGTAGCTTCAATGTTCCAGAACGCATTCGGCATCCACTCGCATTTGTGAACAGTACTGTTTGTTTGACTGGAGTAGTAGCATGCAGTAGCTGCCGTGTTGATAACTTGATATATCTCCAGTCCCTTCCGTAAAATTTTCTGTCTCCAACTCGAGATGGGCATTCAGCCTCGTACCTCTAAAAGGAAACACACACAAAAAAGAAAAAAAAAAGACAGAAAAAAGATAGAGAGAGAAAAAAAAAGCTTTCTGCAACAGAAATACGCCACTCGTACCGACAAAAATATCGAAGCAGTTCAGTGAAACCCGGCCCGACCCCACCTGTCAGCGAAGGCAATTCGAACTGGCGCCTGCATCGCCGACGTGGCGCGTCGTGCGCCTCCAACCCGCACCCCCCAATCCCCCGCCTCCCGCTTTTACCCCTGCACCCGCGGGTACGGCATTAATGGCACCGCATCTTCGAGGGCAATCCCGTAAATCCGGTAACCGCCTCCTCTCCCTTCATCACAAAGGACGCGCCTCCCTCGCTTCCACCTCGCTGCTTTGCTACGGCCGGAGCGGCAGAGCACACTCCGGCGAGGGGGGCCATGGCGATGCGGCTCTTCCCGTCCTCGTCTCCGCTCCCGCCGCCGCCGCCTCTGCTCCCGAGCCCCAGCGCGAAGGCACCGCCGTCCGCGCCCTTCTCACTCTCCCTCCGCCTCCGCCGCGCGCGGGTGGCAGCCTCCGCGGCCGCTGCGGCGGGGGGCCCCGAGAGGGGGGCGGGCGGGTACGAGGGGGATGCGGAAGGCGAGGGCAGCAGCGGGGCGTTCGACAGGGGAATGTCGGAGATCGCGAGGAAGGTGCCTCTCTTCGAGCCGGCGAGGGGCGACGCCGCGGCGGTCGCCGGCGAGCGGCCGCTGCCCATCAACCTCGAGCTCTGGCTCTACCGCGCAAAGGTGCACACGCGGAAGTACGAGTTCGCCGACGCGGAGAAGCTCCTAAACCAGGTGCGTTCCTTGAGAATTGTGGATATTTCGCAACGAAAGCAGAATAAACACGCACAAAAAAAAATGCTCCCACAGCTTAGCAAATTGACAAGGCATATATAGCTAGTTGAAGCCTGAAGGAAGCGAATGTTTTCCTCCTATATCGATAATATAGGGGTTTAACAATCCTAATTTGAGTTGTTTAATAGTTGATGGATCTTGCGCCGCGTATCTGATTTATGCAGTGCATCATGTATTGGCCGGAAGACGGGCGTCCATATGTGGCGCTTGGGAAGCTATACAGTAAGCAGTCGAGGTTTGACAAGGCTAGAGCGGCTTATGAAAGGGGTTGCCAAGCGGCACAAGGTGAAAACCCGTATATTTGGCAGGTTTGCACCGGATCACTTCTCAGCCTCCATTTGGTAAATTGACTGGAAAAAACTGTACAGCACCAAAAAAAAAAGTAGCGCGTGAGGTTTCTTCTTTAACATTCCCTAAGATATGTTAATATTCCTTAGCTGTGTTTGGAGTTCAACTTTCAAAGTTCTCCAAATGGATGACCATGCCCATTAGCAATTCACAATGAAGAGTTATTTTAGGCATTTGAGCTTCAGTTGCATACATTGCTTTCCTCTCAAATATGGATGCAAGATGAATAGATCTAGTCCATTGCACTTTGTTCACAGGAACATCAATGTGATTGATGGCTGATCATGAGATATGAATACACTGCTCCTATCATGGCCATTTGCCCTCTTCTTTTCAAGTACTTAACTCATATGTCAAACATAATCTCTTGGATTTTCTGAATAAGTCTAAAGACTTTTGGTTTGATACACCGGGCTGGGATCATCTTTCACGATCCACAATTTCACACTGAACAAACCAGTCCACTGTTTTCTTATGATCATATCTTGTTCATGTTATAGAAATTAAGCATATAATTAAGTTCCTGTTGTCCTTTTGCTTTGAGTATGCAGTGTTGGGCAGTCCTAGAACGCAAAGGTGGGAATATTCGAAGAGCACGGGAGTTATTTGATGCTGCTACTGTAGCTGATGCAAAGCATATTGCAGCTTGGCATGGGTGGGCTATTTTAGAAATCAAGCAAGGAAACATTAAAAAGGCTCGAAATCTACTTGCAAAAGGTCTAAAATATTGTGGAGGAAATGAGTACATTTACCAGACTCTTGCTCTGCTTGAGGCTAGAGCAGAGCGCTTTGAACAAGCACGAACTTTATTCCAACAAGCTACCCAATGCAATCCCAAAAGCTGTGCAAGTTGGCTAGTAAGTATTTGCTTCATAATTTATCCATTTTAGTGCAAATAAAAACTGCATAGTTTTTTTGTCTAAACTGTGAACTTATGTACGGCAACTTCTAGTAGGCATGGGCTCAGGTAGAAATTCGTGCAGAAAACAATGCCATGGCAAGAAAACTCTTTGAGGTAATAATTTATTTTCTATTTATAATTGTTCCCATGAATGTTTGCGTTAGTTCTTCGGTACTCATACTTGAAAGTTTTCTAACAGAGATCCATCCATTTCCACATGGCAAATTAGAAAAGATTTCCCAAGTAGAGATGAAATAATCTTTAATCCAACCCAGAGAACTGTGCTTTCAAAATGATTTTACTACCACATATCAATGCAATGATGTGGCAATAATTTTTATAACTTAATAATATGCTGTTAGTGTGATTCACTCCATAGTTCATTCACACCTGCATGGGATGGTTTCAGTCAACACAATGCTGTCTACAAAGTATAATTTCGAATTTCTTTTTACAGAAAGCAGTCCAGGCAAGTCCTAAGAACAGATTTTCATGGCATGTCTGGGCACTATTTGAAGCAGAACAAGGTAGCATCGACAAAGCAAGGAAGTTACTTAAGATTGGTCATGCTGTGAACCCTAGGGACCCTGTGATTCTTCAGTCTCTTGCACTACTGGAATACAACTACTCATCTCCAAATACCGCCCGTGTTTTATTTAGAAAGGCATCTCAAATTGATCCTAGGCACCAACCAGTTTGGATAGTATGGATTTTCTGTGCTTATCTCTCTTTTTTTTATAAGTAATATATTACTCATTTGAGCCGCATTTGTTTTTTTACACCTCTGGTTAAATTAACTTGTAGGCTTTGTTTTAGTATTATTTACCTGACATTTCGCAAATAGCTATGATTAATTAGTTTATGGCACTTCTTGATGTACCTTGCACACTTGAGCTGCATCTTGCAACTTGCAAGTGCTCTGGCTGTTCACCTTCCTGTCACAAATCACAACTGAATATGCACACGATACAAATAATTTGGGATTTGATGGATGTAAAGGTTCAGTTGAGTGCAGTTGTCTGAATTATTTTGTTTTAGTTACTTTCAAGATGCTATATATCTCATCGTTACATTTGTCCATATTTGTGCTCATTTAGGCTGTTACTTGGGATCTCCCGTTCAACACTACCTTTAGAATTTCGTTTTTCTATTTGCACTTATTTAGACTTGTGCAAAGCACTATATATCTTACAATCAAGGAAGCATCGCATGTTCCTGGCCAGAGTAAAGTAAAAATATTTGTTATGAACTGTTAGTTGGTAGAGGTGGTATTAAGTGAGCAAATCTATTACACCAATTTTAAATCCCTAGATGGATCTGTCTTGTTTTATCTTGCAAACTGTCACGTTTGCATTTGTTTATGGAATCTCTTTTATTTGGACTATCTTTGAAGCTTAGCTCTGACTTATGGATCATGTTATAGGCTTGGGGGTGGATGGAATGGAAAGAAGGAAACGCCAGAACAGCAAGGACACTGTATCAAAGAGCTTTGTCAGTTAATTCAACTAATGAATGTGCTGCTCGATGTCTTCAGGTAAATGATCTATTGATGGCAATCCAGCTCATATTGAACTGGTAGCTATACGTTTTTGCTGGCCGATAGCTATAGGAGTAGGTTTTTGTCTCACGTGGTAATGTGTTACTATTGAATAATAATACTATGAGTTTCATGGTTTTTGGAAGATGAATGCTTCTATGTGTGAAGTTTCTTCTTTACTGGAACTGCTGTACTCATTTGTGATCGAAAGACTCAAATTTCTGTACACTTAAAACATATCCTGCCCTATTTTTGTAGGCTTGGGGAGTCCTAGAACAGCGGGCCGGTAACTACACCGCTGCCAGAAGATTGCTGAGATCTTCACTGAACATAAATTCTCAGAGTGAGGTAACATGGATGACATGGGCTGCACTAGAGGACGAACAGGGTGATCCAGTTCGAGCTGAAGAAATACGGAACATCTATTTTCAGCAGGTTAGTCCCGGGTAACTACTTTTAGATATGAGTACTGGGTAACTTTAGAGTAGCATCTTTCTCAATTCATGTTTATTGAGTTAAAAGGCAGTAAAATGGAATTATTTTTCTTCATGTTTTGTGATTACCAATTTCATTTGCATCACCCATGAACAACGTATTAACAACAATTGCTGGTGTTCGCATCATCTCTGTTGAAGTTTCTCCCTGATCATTATCCATCCTGACAGCGTACCGAGGTTGTGGATGATGCCTCCTGGGTCATGGGCTTCCTCGACATCATTGATCCTGCCTTAGACAGCGTGAAGAAGCTCCTAAACATAGACCAGCCTTCGGGGCCTGCAACACGAGACAATCCGAAAAGCACTGGAGAGCCAAGCAATACAGCTACCGTCCGGACTTCTGCCGATGCAGAGTTTTCTGGCGGTTCAAGAGCAGAAGGATCGGACGCTTCGGACCTTGCTAACGCCGATGACAAGGAGAGCGATGACGCTGCAGAGACACCAGAGAGCGATTTCGACGTGGATGGATTCATCAGGAGGCGGCTAGCCCTGGACCCGGCCGAGCTGGACGCGGTGCTTGAGGGTTCTGATCCCAGGGGAGTTGTTTCCAGGAGGAGGACGCAGAGGTTGCCCAGGAAGCCCCTTCCTCTTCTCCCTGTTCCGTAAATATTTCCACTTCAGTTCAACAATGCACATTTGCCATCTACGCCGTGCGAAGCATCGACCACTAACAGTAACAGGTACCGTGACTCGCGAGATAGTTGAACATACATATCTGTGTATATCTCTCAGAAGAAGAGCGCGGCGGCTGCCATTAGCAGCCACATGTTTGTTACTAGAGTTGTTATTGGTCCACCCAGGTGTATGTAATTCTATCATTCTTCAGGAGCAGTGTATCTGTGTACATAAGCGCAATCTATCAATTTGTATGTGCTAGTGAAGAATTCAAAATCTGCGGATATCACTTCAATCCATCTTATGCCAATTGGATAGGATAAAGACCATCACAAAGGGGTCATGAAACTAGAAAATGATTTGATTCTAAATCTGAGTTATCCAAATGTGCGCCGTTCATGTTGCCGGGTAGTACAAATTAACAACAGTGACAGGAAGTAAAAAATTAGGAATCAGCAGGAGAACAAAAGCTGCAATTAGGGGGTGGTAAACGATCTAACATTTTAGGCTTTTAGCCTACAAAATTTAAAGGCTGGTTTTAAAATAGGATGAACAAAATTTCTGTTTATTTTCAAATTGGGTTTAAAATAGGATGAACTTTTCTATTTATTTATAACTAAAAATATATGAGAATTAGATCTTTATCCATAATGATCCCATAGCTGCAACAGGTGATTACAAACAACAATTAGGATCAACAGTACATACATCTGTGTTGGCTCGAAAGATTGCAAGAGGACAAGCTTAGCAATGCACTCCCTCCCTAATACGCCGGCCTGCCCCAGAAAACTCCCGGCGGCGGCGGCGGCGATTGCTGCTGCTGCAGCTGCAAGGTGGGAGGAGGTGGCTGATGCAGCGCTGGAGCTGGCGGCGATCTGATGTGGCCCCAGTGCGGCAGCGGCGACGGCCGCGGCGGCGGAGGTTGAGCACCCCAGAACGGCGCGCCCCAGAATGGTGCCGGGTAACACGGCGGCACCGTCGGTGGGCTCCAGAAAGGTCGCTGTCCCGCCGGGGGATGCTGCGCGAACGCAGGCGCTCCCGGGAACGGCGGCGGCGCCAGTGGCACCGCCGCCGGCAACGGCAGGCCCCACGACAGCCATGGCACCACCGCGGGCGACGCGCCGAAGTGTAGGGGTCGGGGAGGAAGCGGCGCCAACGTCGGGTGGCCGCAGTACGGTGGGGGAGGAGGAGGAGGCGGCGCCAACGTGGGCTGGCCGTAGTACGGTGGGGGAGGAGGCGGCGGCGGTGCCACCATCTCGCGTGGTGGCGGAGGCGGAGGAGGCGGCGGCGTCGCGTGTGGTGGCGAGGGAGGCGGCGGAGGCGGAGTTGGAGAACGCGTCCACCGCGGCGGAGTCGACGGCGGTGGCGGCAACCACTCCCCATCTTCCTTCTCCTCCACCTCCATCGACGAGCCACCGTCGTCGGGCTCGGGCGGCCTGTGACCGTAGGCCGAGCTGCGGCTCCGCTTGGACCGCGCGCGGCGCCCGGCGAGCACGAAGTCCGCGGGGCGGGGATCGGGCTCCACCGGCTCCGGCGCGTCCCCGGGCGACGCGGCCAAGACGGCCACGGAGCCGATGGGGCACTCCGTCCACCCGATGGCGTCCACGTCGGCGCTCACCACGTCGGCGGCGATGACGGCGTCGGACGGCGGGCCCTCCGCCGCGCGGTGCAGCGTGGAGCGCCGCGGCGGCTGCAGGTCCACCTGCCCCACCAGCCGACGCATGATGTCGCCCTGCTCGCAACTCCGCCTCGTCACACATAACGCTCGCAACAACGAGAGAGAAAAAAAAAGAAGAAGAAGACCGAAACGTATCGAGAAGGCAACCAACCAACCTTGTTGGAGCGGTGGAGCTTGACGAAGCCGTGCATGGAGATGATCTGTGTGCCGCCCGCCCACCGAAGTACGTGACATGCATGCCGCCAACACAGAAAGATCAAGCACAACGAAATCAGAAGCAGCAATCTAGACTAAAAAGAACACAACACAAGCAGACGACGGCGTGCGGGCGTGCGGGCGTGCGGGCGTACGTACGTGGTTGAGGTGGTCGATGGTGAGGCGGGTGCCCCATGGGTCGACGAAGAAACGGTGGTACCTCTCCAGCGTCAGGGGCCCTCCCTGCATCTCCCTCCCTCGCCCCCTCGGCACCATGGTAGGTTCTTCCTCCCTCCTCTGTTTCTCTCCTCTCCTCTCCTCTTCTCTTCCCCGACGCAACTCTGCTTTCACCTCTAGGAGTCTCCTCCTCTTGTTTCTTTCCGCTACCTCTGCTCTGCTCTGCTCAGCGCTGCACAAGGGAACCTGGGGAGCAAAAGCTTGGTTGTTGGTGGGTGGTGGGGCCCACCTGCAGGCTTTCGCACAGGAGAGGAGGATTGGATACATTTTACTCTTGACCGGGCCTGAACAGGAGGAGATGATGGAGGAGCCGAGGTGGGAAGTGCGTGACGAATCTCGTCAGATCATTCATGCTGCAGCAGGGTGGTTGCACCAAAAGAGGGATTATCAAAGCCATTGCTGTGTCCGGTTCGTTTCGCGTGTTGCTCATCAGTTGATCGACGAGAACGATAAGGTGAAAATACCTGCCCGGGCGACGCGGCATGCTGCCTTGCCGGCAGAGGGCTAGACAGAGCAGCTTTTGCCTTGCCTTTCCTTGCCGGCATGTTGCCATTTTCGTTCACCAATGTGGTGGATAGGTGAACGTGAACACTGCTGCACACCTCTGCGTTTCACTATTCTTTCCTGGTTTCAATGCACCCATATCTTTGGTTTCAATGCGTACCCTGATAAATGCAGGACTGCAGGTGCAGTTCCAAAGATTGGAAAAGAACGTTTTACCACCTACCATATCATGCCACAGGACAAGAACATTGCAACCCATTCTTGGACGAAATGGATGAGGACGAGAGCATTGCAAACATGATTCTTGGAGGAAATGGATCGACCAATACACGTAATAAGTGATAACCACGAAACAGCAAACAGCTTTAATTGAGTAAGCATGTTAGGTTTGATCCTTTAACACGGATGGATTCATCTAAGCCGGTAAAATTTACAGACCAGCGGTAAAGCAAAATGTAGGACGTCAACTGAACTTTAAACACCAGAGCTAAGCTGAGCACAACCCAAAACAAACACTAATGCAACTTAGTACTGGCGGTGATTAGTACTACTAGTAAGAACCAAGGAGAGGCCATGGCGTCGCCGCCCTGCAGATGGAGGAGCCCCGGGCTCCGTCAGGCGGTGGCCGCCAAGTTCTCGACGGACGGGAGCGTGAGCAACTGCACGACGCGCCGCTTCCTCCCCCTCATGGCCGCCTTCCCCTGGCCCTTCTTGCACCGCTTCCGGATCACCACCGCCCCGGGGGGCGCGGGCGAGCAGGCGCTGAGTATGCTCGGCGGGGAGACGCGCTCCACGGCGGTGGAGCCAGGGCGGATGGCCGCGATCGGCATGTGGGCGGCGGAGGGCGCCGCGTCGCCGCCGCCGGCGCGGATGGAGAGGAGGGAGCCGACGGGGCACTCGCGCCAGCCGAGGTCCTCGATGTCGTCCCTGGCCTCGTCCATGGTGAGCAGCGCGTCCGACGGCTTGGCGGCGCCGCGCGGTGGCGCGGCCGCGTTGATGCCGACGGTGGAGCGGCGCGGGCGCATGAGGTCGAACTTGTTGAGCGCGTCCACGATCACCGGCTGCGAGACACGCGTCACGGGTTTTTGCGGAAGAACCGAACCGAAATGGGGGCAAATAGAGGTGGATTGGGGGGGTACCTTGTTCTGGCGGTGGAACTTGATGAACCCGTGCATGAAGACGATCTGCGCGACGCGACCAGCAGCAGAGGAAGACGATGAGTGGAGGGAGAGGGGGGCGGGACGGGAGTCGGGAGGGAGGGAAGAGGGTGTGGGTAGTACATGTACCTGGTTGAGGTGGTCCATGGTGAGGCCGTGGCCGGAGCGGGTGGTGAAGAAGAGGATGTAGTCCTCGAGAGTCAGCCGCGGTCGCTGGTCCATCGGCAGCTTCGGCATCGCCGTCGCCGCTCCCTCCCTGTCTCTCCACACGAGCACACCAACTACGCTACACGCCCTCCCTCCCTCCCTCCCTCCCTCCCGCGATCCGGCGACCGTGGCACAGCGCGGAATCGTTTATAGGTGACCGTGGCAGCTTTGCGAATTTTGGGGGGATTGGGAAACCAAGCCGGGAGCGGGCACCAAAAAGTTTCCGCGCGCTCCAGCCCCGGCCCGTCCCCCAGAACGCACCGCCCCAGCCAGCTGGGTCTGGATGGCCCACATGTCAGTGTCTCATTTTCCTCTTGGACGGTAATCAAAGCCTTGCACCGAACACCCAACCCAGAGAAAAATTTCATATTCCCCGTTCGAACCTAATGTTCCAGTTGTATATTAGAAATTTCATATTCCCCGTTCGAACCTAATGTTCCAGTTGTATATTAGCGGCATGCAGCTAGGTCATACGTTGGATATAAACAACACAAAACTTTACTTATTTCGAGACGGAGAAATTAACATTTAAAAAATAAATACATTATCAAAATATATTAACGTTATATTTAATGAAAATAATTTAATGTTATAGATGTCGTTAAGTTTTTCATAAATTTAGTCAACCTATGAAGTTTGACTAGAAAAGAAAAGTTGTAGTTTGAAAAAAAAGAGGTTAAAACGATTTATAATATAAAACATATTATAAACGGAGAAAATAGTTGTCTAGAACAGAAAACGGGCGTGCACATGGTTGATGGAAGGACGTTAAACAGCGAGCAAATGGGGCATGGTCGCATAGATATACAACAAGCGTGCAAGCTCACCAGGAAATTGTATCATTCACATCATGTAATCTACATGTTACAGTCAATATATGTTTCATCAGGGCAGAAGAACAAAAATGGAGAGAATTTTGGTACATTGGGTTCCCCCAAGGCCTAGCGATCCCACCCCGACGGCCGCTTTCTCTCCCTCGTGCGATCCCTCGAGCTGCAATCCAAGAGAATTTTGACCGTTGGTTAGCATACACAACATATAACAGGCGTGTCATAAGTACTAACAAAATTACCAGGGAAGCAGTACTATGCAAGGGCACGCACCTTTCAGGGTTTGGGTTCGCATTTTCAACAGTGTTTTCTGCAGGTCTGGAAGCAGGGACAAAGGAGGGCGCAGGCAGTACTGCCCGTGCTTGGTTTGCGTCTCCTCCTATGGTGCCACCAGAAACAAAACCACGGAGTGCCGGTCTCACAAAGGAGGAAGGAGCACCTCTTGAAGGTGCGCTGTTGCTTGGTGTATTTGATGAAGAGGCAGAGACAAAGCTGCTCTTAAAATTTTGCATCATCCCTGTCTTCAATGAATTTAATGCAGCAGATCTTGGAGCAGGCACCGATCCTGATTCAGCATTGTACCCTATGCCAAGGCCAAAGTCAACCCCACGTACACCACGCCCACGACCACGGGCACCGCTACCGCCGCCACCCCCGCCTCCTCCACCTTTTCCTTTGCCACTTTTCTTCCCACCTGATGAGGATAACTAATTGTCAGAACAATCTGCCACAAAAAAGCTCTATGCCATCTGTTCTGCGATGAAATAAACAAGATATACCTTTTCTTGAATCCCGGTTTGCTCTGAATCTTCCATCCTGCAATTCATATCACCAATGGATCAGAAAAGGAAATAGGTTGTTCATGCAATAGTGACTAGGAGAAAGTTTAGTGATAGCATGCACATGTTGCAACTTTTCAATTTAAATTCACTGTGTTTTAACTAAAATTGAATGCAAATTACTCTGCATAGAGAGACAATACAAAATGTTTGTGCATAAGCAAAAACTCACCTTCATTGCCAGATCCATTAGTTCATTTGGCACATCCTGTCCTGCAGCAATCAAACAATGAACCAATTCACCTGCAAAGCGCACCTCCTTCTGTGTAATCAGAGTATATGCAGTTCCATCTTTATCACCAGCACGGCCAGTTCTTCCTATCCGGTGAATATGCATATCCATTTCTTTTGCAATATCGAAATTAACAACTGTTTTAATCGACTTAATGTCCAGACCACGTGCAGCAACATCAGTTGCTACTAGGACGTGATAAACCCCGGATTTGAACTTCTGCAATGTCTCCATGCGAGAAGCTTGATCCTTGTCACCATGAAGTGCTGCAATTCTGAAACCTCTCTGATTTAACTGGCTCTCAATCTCATCAACTCTGGCCTTCTTAGCTGCAAATACAAGAACGTCTCCATCATCAATCATCCCAGGAAGTTTTTCCAGAAGCCAAGGCATCTTCTCAGCATCAGAAGGGAGTACATTTACAACTTGCTTAATGTCTTCATTAGCACTGCCAACCTGACCTACTGTAACTCTAATAGGGTCAGTCAAAATTTCTCTAGCCAAACGTTCCACTTTGTATGGCATTGTTGCTGAGAAAAGCAAGGTTTGTCGGTCTGGTCTAATTTGACCAACGATGGATCTTATCTGAGGCTCAAATCCAAGATCGAACATGCGATCAGCTTCATCAAGAACCAAATAAGTTGCCCTAAACATCTTCAATGCCTTCATCTTAAGCAAGTCTATTAATCTCCCTGGGGTAGCAATGACTATTTCACAGCCTGCCTTCAGTTCTTTGAATTGATCAAATTTGGAAACCCCACCATATACAGCAGCAACTCGAAGATTGTAAGGTTTGGCAAACTTCTTAGCTTCAAGGTATATCTGATGTGCCAATTCTCTTGTTGGAGCACATACCACACCTATTGGCCCTTCTTCTTTCTCAAGCTCAGGCTGATCCATAATGTGAACAATCATGGGGAGTACAAAAGCTGCAGTTTTGCCAGAACCAGTTTTAGCAATACCAATGATATCTCTGCCTGAAAGTACAATTGGTAAAGCCTGGCACTGGATTGTAGTTGGTTTTTCATAACCCTGCTTGGCAATGGCATTCATTAGTTGTACAGGAAACCCACAATCTGCAAAGCTTTTGATTGGTCTTGGCACATCAAAACCTGAAACTCGAATTGCCAAACTTTTCATATAATCAGCCACCTCTTGCTCACTCATCCCTACAAGAGAACAGTAAGGTTTCATTCAGTACATGACTATTCATATCACGCAGAACGAAAAAAAAAGGCATAATTGTCATGATCAATCGTGTCTGTAGATGTTATTACCATATCAAACATGAACAAATATGTGCATAACTCAAAATTTCATTGACCTGCTAATATAGGAAGGTACACAGAACAGGAAAGAGACAACCAATGCTCAACTAGCTGAAAATGATGGTCCTTCATTTGGACATACAACTAATGTAATGTTTAAGCTGGAACAGGGAAAGTAATATTTGGGCCTATGACTAGTAAAACTAAATTCTCTAGCTAGTATTCTCAAATACAATAACAACAGAAAAAAATCCACAATCCAAGCGGGAAATGTTGTTACATATGGCACTAAAGACCGGAAGATTCTACTTGAGCACAAATACAGAGAAAAACGTCCCTTAGGTCATGTGATGCAAATGCAATAAGAGTTTGCTCATCTGTCCTTTCATCATGAGTGTATATCTCAACTTCTATATATATACAGTTAGGTAGGCCAGATCAATCTTGCTATTGAGTATTGACAATTTGACATATGCCAGGGCTGCATTTATCCATTTAGAACACTAGCAAGTAGCTTCATAAGCAAGTCTAGAGACAGTGCCAAAGTAATTCCTGAATTCCTAATGTTGAATTAACAAACCTATTGGAATGCATTACAATAGTACATTGTACCATTGTCAAAAGGGGTTATGGATAATGATGTACTGAAAAATTGCTTCATTGCGAAGTGCACGGCCACATGCACATAGAGATTGCAAAAAGTTATAAGCTAGCGCATGCCTTCTCAAAATAACAAAGTGGCAACATCTATTATAATCTCCAGTGCCAAACCATAAACAACGTATCAAATTATCAACATAGAAGAAATCCCAGAACTACAAACAGTTTCCAAATCCTATTTCATGACGATGATTTTCATTTGACATGGTTCAAGCTGGTAATTTCACCATTGAGATTTCAGTATCCAAATAGAACAGTAGTTGGATTTCCTAGCTACAGGTGAGACCTAATTAACCTTTGCACCATAAAAGCAGAGACCCAGGTTATCATAATTCATAAGCTCAATGAGACATGAAATATGCTATTATACGGGGCAATGTGCTTCACCTGAAACCGAGGGCTTCTCCTCGTAGAAATCCTTGTTGAAGGGTTCATACTCGATGGTGGAATGGTCGAGCGGCGGAATAGGCTCGATCTTCTTCTTGTCCACCACTATGGGGTTGTCGTCGGAGTCGTACTCCATCATGCCGGCGTCCACGGCCTTGGCCGCAGCGTAGACCTCCTCGTCGGAGTCGTACCCGGCGTGCATGGCGTCGGCGGCGAGCGCGAGCCCGGAATCCTTCTTGGCCCGGAGGAAGCTCTCCACGGGGTCGTCCTCGTCGTCGGAGTCCGCGCGCCGGAGCGCCTCGGGCTTGGGCGCCGGCGGCGGCGCGCGAATCTCCTCCTGGATCTCGGCCATGAAGGCGTCGAGCGGGTCGATCTCCTCCTCATCCCCCGCCGCCCCGCCTCCCCCCGCGGGGGGCGCGTCCGACGGGGCCGCCGCGTCGTCGGAGAAGGCGATGTCGTCGAGGTCGGGGTCGTCGGCGGGGACGTAGAGGCGCTGGGGAGGCTGGGAGCGCTCGAAGCTGTAGGAAGTGGGGCGAGGGATGCTGAATCCCCCGAGCTTGGGCCGCTTCGACATGGCCGGGCGGGCGGGGGGCGGTAGGTAGGGAGAGGCGGAGGCAGCGGGCGGGGGAGCGCGCGAGCTAGGGTTTGCGACGCGAGGAAGAGGGAGGAAGACGATGGCAAGCGCGCAGAATTTCGGTTGGGTCGTCGACTCGCGGCTCGCGGGCGCTGGCGGGCTGGGCCGTGGCTGTGGTGGATCTACGACGGATGGAAAAAGTACACCAAAGGTACCTCAACTTATCGGAGAGAGAGCGCTAAGCGTCGGACGTACGGCGCCAGACGAAAAATCGAACGTCTACTTCTCGTGCGACCGTGCGATGAACCATCCATCTCATGCAGTTTGCGTCAGCCATGCATCATACATGAATTAAGCTAGCTTTAAACTATTTTTTCTCTTAAAATATTTATCTAAATCATGATCCGATTGTACCATTAAATCCGTTGTAATTAAATCTTTAAAACAAGACCACACATTAATATAATCCAACGAAAAAAAATTTTAGCTTATTATTAAATTATTTTTAAATATTGCACGTTGTTGCACTAAGTATATCGGAATTGTTTCACTAAGTAGATCGAAAATGTTTCATCGGACGCTATTTCACCTTATATGAAAATAATTTTCAGCGAATAGTGAAAGGATGTTTCAATTCACTGTGATATTTGATCCATACATAGTGAAATATTACGAGTACACTATGTGAAACATTTTAAAAATTGAAAAAAAATCGTACGGTCAAATGTTGCAGTTGATCAACAAGTGAAACAGAAAAATAGCAACTGAAATATTTAAATATTTTATGAAACATGATGAAAATACACGTCGAAACATGCCGCTGTCACATATGAAACAACAAGTATTAACGGTTTGAAATATATGTTTTTCTTTTATCAAAATATAATCATGCAATATCTTGTTGTAAAGATTTAATTACAACGAATACAACGATGTGATCGGATCATAGATTGAATAAGTAATTTAAGAGAAAAATCATTTTGAAGCTTGCTAAAATACATGTATGTATGCATGCATGAGGTGGAGAGAGTAGTAGCAGGTAGTTTCAGGAATTTTATGAAACACACTGAAGACACGTATTGAAACATATCACTATCATGTATGAAACATTTTGTTTTAATGGTTTGAAACACATGTTTTTCTTTTGAGATAATATAATTATGTGATATCTTGTTGTAAAGATTTAATTGCAACGAATACAATGGTGTGATCGGTTTGTATATCGGATAAGTAATTTAGGAGAAAAAATATTTAAAGAGAGGAGGAAAGAATGAAAAGAAACGGCTAGACATGTATGTTACAGTGACAAGGGTTCATCCAATCCACAGGCCTGATTTGACGTCAACGGAGAAAAAGAAGAAATTAAGTAATAAGGAGTAAGCTGGTTGTAGGTGTTCGATGTTTTCTGTCTGATCGGATGTTCGAAGAGAAGCATTTTCGCAGCTTATCATCGAGTTACAAAATCGTCCCCCAACTGCAAAACTAGATATATGACATCTCTCAACTTACAAAACCGTTCACTTTAGGTCATTCGGTGGTTTTGACCCCGGTTTTATCCTACGTGGCAGCTGAGTCAACATGGGACCCACATGGGACCCACGTGTCAGGATGTCCACGTTAGCACCTTTTCGCTTTCCCTCTTCCTTCTCTCTCGCACTCTTCTCGTTCTCGTTGCCATCGTGGTGCTGCATCTTGGATGCAGAGGATCTCGCCCTACGCGACGGCGAGCTGCATCTGCAGCTGCGACGCCTGGTTCTGCAGGAAGGAGATGGCCTCGACGTAGCCGTAAAAAAACGGAGCGGTTCATTAATGCGTAATTAATTAAGTATTAGCTATTAATGCGTAATTAATTAAGTATTAGCTATTTTTTTAAACATGTATCAATATGATTTTTTTAAACAACTTTCATGTAGAAACTTTTTGAAAAAAAACACATCGTTTCGTAGTTTGAAAAGCGTACGAGCGGAACACGAGGAAGAAGGGTTGGGAACACGGAGCAAGGAACACACCCTAAGATTTAAATGTGATGATATGTTTTCTTCTTTCCTCAATCCTTATTTCGTCCACGAAAGAAGGAATGTGCGGTACATAGGAGTATTATTTTAAAGACAAACAAATGTGATAAGCATATAGGTATAGTAGGCTCCCAGTAATGATTGCGTTCGTTTAAGCATTTTGAGTGGGCTAAACAGTCGCACATGAAATGAAAAAAGTCACTGATTAATTAAGCAGTATTCGCTATTATAAAATTTAAAAATAAATTAATTTGACTTTTTAAAAAGAAAATCGTACATAGAAGATATTTTATAACGGAATTGCTAACCTTCTTTCGACAGAAATTGCACCTCCCCAAATTTTGCAATTTTTGGAACATCGGATGAGCTTTGAGATTCGTGCTCCATGCTCTCTTCCAACTCCGGCAACCTCCTCTTCTTCTCCGGCGCTGGCGACACCCTAGACTCCGGCAGAGGACCCTACGGGTTAGGGTCCCGGGGTGGGGTGGGGGTGGGAGGGGGAGGGGAAGGAGAGGAGTTTGCCATCTCTAGAGGGATGACCGGGGGAGGCGGCAGCTCGGCGGTGGGCGGCGAGGCGCCGGAGCTGCGGGGCTGGAGGACGGCAGTGGGCCGGTGTTGGTGGTGGGGGCATCTCGTCGCCGATGCTCGGGGAGGGGAGGGGGAGGGGGAGGGGGAGGGGGGTCTCGCCGGTGCCGTTGACGCCCTTCGGACAGCCGGCGAGGCGGGCGGTGGCGATGGGGGATCGGGCGGAGCAGAGAAAAGAGCGATGGGGGCGGCAGAACAAGCGATGTGAGGGGAACGGAAGGAGAAGAGCTAGGGTTAATGTCTTTGCACGAATCTTAAAGCATATCCGATGGTAAAAAATTTGAAAGATGGGAGATTTGATTTTCTATCAACAGATATATAGACAGTCCCATTTTATAAACAATACTCCCACCGTTTCACAATGTAAGACTTTTTAGTATTACCCACATATATATAGGTGTTAATGAATCTAAACACATACATATATCTAAATTCACTAACATATAAATGAATGTGAGTAATGCTAGAAAGTCTTAAATTATAAAACGGAGGAAGTATATCTTTATCCGTTCGAATAACGTACTCAGGGCAAGTACTATAATGCTCCATAAGCTGCCCCTAAATGTGCCACATTGGATTGAGTGATGAGGTGGAGGAGAGAAGTGAGGAGAGAGATGGTGAACCACCCCTAAATGAAGAGGTAACCTCCACACAAATTTCAAGAGGGGTGTGAGAGTATAAGAGACATTGGTATTTGTGTACTAGAGGTGACATATTGTATAGGTTACCTCTTAATTTATGAGTGAATGATGTGGATAAATTTAGATGTGGCACATCTACCATAACACTTGCCCTCGTGAGAAAATAAGGAAGTGGCTGGCAAAAAGCTCAAAAGAACTCTAATGAAGCATGAATGTAGTGGGACCGAAGGCTGCTTATATCCTGATCAAACCATCTCTTTCGTAGGAGTACCAGGCAAGCCAATTGAGATCCTCTGTAGTACTGCACGTGCAGTACTGCTCACTCTGTAGTACTGCACGTGCAGTACTGCTCACTGACATGTGGGCCCGGGCGCGGTACTGCTCACTGACATGTGGGCCCGGGCGCCAGTGCTGCAGAGTACCTGCATCCCAGGCAAGCATACCGTTATCTGTCTTTTCTTTATTAAACAAACAATTATTATGTTCTCTAAAGTTTGAGGAGAAGGGGATTGAGAAGATTGGGAAGATACGCAAAACGAGGTGAGCCATTAGCACATAATTAATTGAGTATTAACTATTTTAAATTTTAAAAATGAATTAATATAATTTTTTAAATAACTTTTCTATAAATTTTTTTTTACAAAAAATACACCGTTTAGTAGTTTAGGAAGCGTGCGCGCGGAATACGATGGGCTTTCTCACCCAATCCGCCATGAACGAACGCACCCTAGTTCACCAATTAAGCGACCCTAGGCGCTGAGAATATCTCCTTTTCACCGTGCGGAAGACGGAGAAATTTCCTTCATGCTGTAACCTGTAATGTATCGCCTGCTTTCCTTCATGCAAAGAAATTTCCATCATTTATCCTGTCTCGTTTCAAATGGTCCTTTGCTCCACGAGTTAATCCATGGACCTATTAAATAAAGCATAACCATAAAAAGAATCCGATGTCCTGACAAAACACTGAACAACATAATTCAGCCATGCATGTAAGCGTCTGGAACGCACCAACCTGGGTGACCAGGGACTAATTAAACTACTACCAATGTCCTAGGATGCATCACAGTGTCTTAATCTAATGAATGAACAGTAACTGTAGTTACTAAGTAAGCTTTGGATACATAAAAAAAAGATCCTTTTCGAAGTCCACAAGTTTCAACTCCACTGCTGCTCCGTAGACCGTAGGTCTATCTATTAGCAATATTTAATAGGTAGTATTACTAATTTAGTTGTATCTGTATATATATCCACACTATAACTTTTACTATCACATCCCTTTTGAGATAAACATAGTTTTGAAATAACTACAGTCAATTCTTAAACTTTTAGCAACTAATGGACGGCGTATCATGCGAAATGTTTTACGATTTTGATTTGTAAAAAGAAACACACTTTGGCATGATTAACTTTCAAGATCGTGTCAATAGGAATCGCTCTTTGGTTTCAACGAGACAACGACTTAATGATGTGTGGCGCATTGAATGGCCTATTGAATAAATTTACATTTCAGCCCCTTGCATGTTTCAGCCCATAAGCTTACCAATAATTCAATATACAGTACACATTTGATTTACAACCATGCCCCTCCGGACCCACTTGTCAGCCACTCGAAATCCTAATTTCCTCTTATTTCACGCCCATCTCGATCTCTTCCTCCCCCTTTTCCCTCTTCCCCTTCTCTCTCCCGCGTGCCCTCCTCCGCCGCCGGTGGATGCCCCGGCGTGCGGCCGCTCTCCGCTCCCCTGATCTCCGGCCACCGAGCGCCGGCAATCTCTCTCTCTTGCCGGCCTTCGCCGCCTCAGCCACGGCGCCACCGACCTGCATGCGCGGTCTCTCACCCGCTTCCCAAAAAAGCCCTCGAGCTGTACTGAAATTGTGAAAAAGCGAGTCCCGTTGGGTAGAGACGGGTGGTGTGTGTGGAAAGCG